TTAAGGTACCCAACCCGTTCTCAAAATATATATAAAGGCATCTCATTCGAACTTTCTGGCAAAGCACTCAGGCTTCATGATAGCACAAGAAGAATTTATAACCATTCCAGAAGAAGACGTTATTAAGGTCCAACACGAATTGGTGAAGCATAAGTGAGACTGGAAGAAGGTAAGACATTCTCTGTCTAAACTTTGAGGTATGGGCTGGTAGAACCCCAAAATCTTTCTCAGGGAAGATCAGAAGGAAATATTCATTTTCAGTCAGGGATAATAACATCAATAACAAGTGCAGCATCTTCTTATTCAAAATTATTTTATTCCTGTAAAGTGTTCTTGCAATTACTGTATTTGATAGCCCTTGCTTTCTTGTTTTTTATGTACCCCATATTTAAGCCAAAGCTTTCCTTTCTGTTGTAGAACTGGATAACTCCTGGAAAAGATGGGTCACAATTAGCATGAGAAAGGAATGGTAGACACTCAATGAATAAAGGAGGAAACTATTTTTTAGAAGCTTCTTGAATTTAGCTGGTTGCTCCTATCATCAACAACAGTAATAATAATAACAATATTTTTCCCACAAAGAAAGATTCCCTCCAGCCACTAAAAGTTTCCACCTTCTTTTTTTTCTGAAGAGTGAAATTAGTCATCTATGGAGATTCTGAGCCATCCAGGTCATGGTTGTCCCAAAGGTGCTTTTTCAAGAGGCAACTGGACTGTCTTGTTTTTCTTCAAAGATGTTCCGCTTCTCATCCAAAAAGCTTCTTCAGCTCTCAGAGAAGCTTCTAGAATGAGAAGCAGAACGTCTTGAAAGAAAAACAAGAAAGTCCAGTTGCCTCGTGAAAAAGCATCTTTGGGACAGTGAAATTAGTCATTAAAAAAAAAACCTTTTGTGGATAGTAGGAGTAATTATCTCCCTTGTGATATTTATTCTTCATTGTTGTGAGTTGTCCATTTTTGTAGTCATCAATATCATTGGTAGTTTTATATTCAGAATACTCTGCTGAATCGTTGATGTTTTCCAAACTGAAATCCATCAAGAGACCTTTGAAATGCTCCAAAAATCTCTTCTTTGAGAGTGGAAGTTTCTATTGGAAGGAAAGAAAGAAGAGTGGATTCAGTAATTGCTCAAAAATCATCAAGTCTTCATTTCTGTCTTTTCTCTGGAAAGATTGTGAACTGTTGCCAAACAGTTTTATTTATAGTACCATCATTTTGAAAATTTTCTAGTATGGTTCTTGGTATATAACTTACAGCAATAATATGCTAATATTGCTAATATTATGAAAAACCCACTCAAAACAGCCAGCTCTTGTGCAACTCACCATTGTGATAACAATAAGAGATGAAGATTGCCTCTCATATAAATGATAAAGTAAGGCTCGTACTGGATCAGTTTTTATCCGAGTAAGTGCTACAGATTCTGGCTTTTGGTGCCAAGTGGACTAGAGAATTTAGAACTGTCAGCTAACCAACTAAAAACCAGCAGTTGCAGGACTACTGAAAGAATAGGTATTTAATTGTTCACCAATATACAAAGATTGGATATAAGCAGAAAATATACCTATTACTATCAGTAGTAACAATAACTTGGGAGCCCTCTCATTACATCTCGAGCTCTGCTCAAACACCATGGCATTGACAAAACCACCCTCAGTTAATTGCAAAAGGCAGCTTTACTTGGAAATGCCTAGATCCTGTGATCGCTCTCAGATAGCCATGGCTATCCCAGGAAAAGAGTGGCAAAGCAGAACATCTGGCTGACTGTGTGACTAACTATAATTTCTTGAAATGGCTACATTATCCAACTCTCAAAGACTCTGGGCAGCACCCAATGATAAAATCTCAGAGAAACTATTATATGTTCAATTAAAAAAGTATCTCCCATTAGACAGGTAATTGCACCCAGAGAATTTCTATGAAAAAAGACGACTCTACGGGAAGATGAGAGAGTAATTCCAGACTGGAGGCCAAGAATTAGGATAGAAAAATTCCCGCCCACATGAAAATGCACAGCTGGCATACTTATCAAGCTACAGATATTCCAAGGAAAAATGTTTGTTTTATTGTGGTCTCACAGAAAGCTGAAATGAAGGAGAAATAAGTTTGCAAATGGTCTGATGATGGTTGATGAGAGAGATCCAGTCACAAACCAGAAATAGGACAAAATATACTTAACTGCTTAAATTTAATCTTAAAAAAATTCTTGCCTGTATTCTTCTTCTCTCTCTTATGCAGGGAGAGGGAGATGCAGGGACAGAAAAAGGCAGTTTTGAGATTCCCGTGCAGTCCAAGATGTAAGGAATGGATGCAAAATTCCTGAAACTTGAGAATCTTCATACACAAGCACAAAGGGAGAGCTTTATTGTGGAAATCAAGTAGTAGAGTAGTTGAAAAATAATGTTGGGTCATCAAAGAGAGAAATCTTGAAACGGGTCTCATCTCTGCACCAGGACCCTTAAACTCGTCAGTGTCAGATATTTCAATTTCTTAGCAGATATTTTCACTGTTCTGTTTGGATGGCTACCATTACATTTGAAAAGCAGTCCAGAAAAAAGTCAATTGTGATTTAGGTGACTATCCCCATATTAGTATTAAAAGTACATTTTTGATATGAAAAATCAGGGGCAGAAACTAGTAGCCAAGTGGATGGATATTAATGCATTTACTTATGTTTAAGATCTTCCAAATGTGTTATCTATTTGAAAATATTGGTCCAAAGTCTTCAAAGTTGGGAGAAGATTACTATGTGATGTTATTGATGGCTAGAGTAGCCGATGATGGCCAAAGCAGAGCAAGTTCCAGAGGAAAAATAATGGGTTTTAAGTCCTGTTCAGGTTAATTGTAGTTCCACTGAAGAAAAATAGTAGGTTCTATCCATGCTACGCTTTGCTTACAATGTCCAAAATATGTCATTGTAAGGTGATAGTAAGCAGATCTTCTGAAGAAAAGAAATATTTCTGTTCTGGGATGGGTAAGCAGATCTTGTTAAAAGCCTCAGACACTGAGATATATTTTTTGTCTTGCACAATCAAATGTGAGCATCAAGTGATAAGACAGTCTGGTTCCTGTTATTTGCAAGATGATCACCAACTGTACAATGAGGAGGTTGCCCATGAGCCTTGGCAACTGTCAAGGAGAGAGATATTCTTCTTTTATTTCAGTTGAATTGAACCTCTCATCTGAGAAGTTTTATGGTGAACATCTGATTGTAAATTTCTCGCCTTCATGCAAAAGATGACAGAAATTGCCTCTTGTTTATAGCCTTCCTATACTCTGGCTTGGGTTTACTGGAGCAGAAGGTGGGGGGGGGGTCTTCTAAAAGAAGCTTAGTGCTGTCATGACACTGCCATGGAGTGATGCTATCAAATGTCGGCCTATTTGGTATGCAATTTTTTCTGCATAGCTGAGGATCCTATGAACCCTTACCTGGCCAGGTCAGCCTCTTCTTAACACTTTCCTGTTTTACTCCAAGGAACTCTGTGATGCCCCTCAACACTGCTAGACTCAAGAGATACCATTCCTTTTTAGAGGGGAATAGAAAAGGACCTAAAATCATCATATAGGTAAGTAGATAGATAGCTAAATAGCTAGATAGCTAGATAGCTAGACAGCTAGTTAAGTAGATAGATAGATAGATAGATAGATAGATAGATAGATAGATAGATAGATAGATAGATAGGTGGGTGGGTGGATGTTTTGTATACTTGATATTTATATGTCGACTGTCATATCAGTCTCAGTTGAGGTTTCCTGGTTTTTTACTCATTCTCCAACCAATTTTTAGCCAACATGACAATACAAGTATGTCAGAAGCAAATAAACTGTTTGAAACCCAAATGTCAATGCTGCAAATACTGTATTTTCTTGCTTTGACAATATGCAGAAATGTCTGGTATTTTGGGGGTTAATACAGAGCAGAAGGGGGGGGGGGTAAAGCCCGGGAAAGAAAGAGGAAGGAAACCTTTGACCTTCACACTAATTGGATAATGTGATATATGACAGCTAATTTAAAGAGGGAACATGCTGATAATTTAACTGCTCAGAGGAAGAGAACCTAGATCTTAGCATAAACCTTCCGTTATGCCTGTGCCGACATTTTGAAGCAATAAAAGACTTTTAGGGAAATCAAAGCCTGGAAGTTCTTTGAAGTGTTTCGTTAGCCGGAACCATAACACCAAGATCAAGGAAATAAAATGTTTCTTTAGCTTATCCTTAATTCTTTCTCATCAGTTTTGGCTTTTCAGTTCTGTATGAAAACCCATCTCATTTTTGTGCCTCAACTTGGAAGGTTCCAGTTAATCACAGACAATTTGCGCACACACACACACACACACACACACACACACACACACACACACACTGGAAATGTTCTATATTTAACTAATCAAGGAGAGATCAGAATCAGAATTAATTAATGGAACAGCTTGCCTTCAGAAGCTTTAAGAAGAGACACCATTTCAGACACCATTTCAGACCAATGGTTGTCCAATCTCTTCTTAAAAACCTCCATTGTTGAAGCATCCCCAGCTTCTGAAGGCAAGTTGTTCCACTAACTGTCAGGGAATTTCTCCTTAGTTCCAAGTTGGATCACTCCTTAATATGTTTCCATCCATTACGTCTTGTTCTGCCCTAAGGTGCTTTGGAGAATAGGTGGACCCCTAGAAGCTATGGCAATATTGGTACCAATAAAGGAGAATATTTGTAGCTTAGGGTTGAAATGAGGGGTCCTTGATACTCTTTGAGTTTGCTTTTTAAGCCATCTCTTTACCAAGCTAGGTAACATCATCAGTGCTAGCACTGTGCTGGGACTAGCACTGATGATGTTACCTAGTTTGAGTAATGAAAAATCTGCAAGAAAACAAGTAAGCTGAGAGAGCACCAAGTGGCCCCAATATTGATGTTATTTCAGAGACAGGAATGACTGAATCCATTCTTCTTTCTTTTCTTCTAATAGGAGCTTCTACTCCAAAAGATAATCAGAGGATTACAAAAGCTTAATGATGAATTCCAGCCTGGGAGATCTGGATGCTACAGAGAATTATTATCGGTATAATAATACCAGTGAGATCACAGAACAGCTCACCCTTTCTGTAGAAGAGATTGTTTGGACAGGCATCACTTTAACAGTCTGCTGTGTTGGATTTGTGGGCAATGGCTACATCATCTGGCTACTTGGCTTCCAGATGAAGAGAAACTGTTTCACCACATTCCTCCTTAACTTGGCCATCACAGACTTTGGGTTCCTCACATGTGTAGTTATAACTTTAATCTGTAAATTAACCAACTTGCTAGGAAGCATTCTCAACTTGATCTGTATTTCTTTCTCCCAAATATTGTACATCAATGCTCACTTTCTTATGACGGCCATCAGCATTGACCGATGTGTGGCTGTCCTCTTCCCAATCTGGCATCGCTGTTCCCGGCCAAAACATTTGTCCCCTGCTGTCTGTGTCTTTCTCTGGATTGCCTCTTTCCTCCTTGCTGGAATTGTGAATATTATGTTGTTCACAAAAATCATTGTGAATGAGAGATTCTTCAGTCTTCATTTCCTTGTGACTGCTATGGTTTGCCTTCCACTGATCACTCTCTCTACTGTGGTCCTTTTCATTAAAGTATGTCTTAAATCGAATCAGAAGAATCAGGGTCGGCTTTTACTGATGATTTTAATCACTCTTCTCTGTTTCCTCATCCTTGCTTTTCCATTATCAATCATTGTAATGATTTTTTGTTTTTCTAGTTCTGAGCGTTCTGAAGCTCAGAAAGAACTGAGATATTTGATTATGCTGAGTTTAATGCTTTCTTGTCTAAACAGCAGCATTAATCCAGTGATCTATTTTCTAGTTGGGAGGAAAAAAGGAGCTCAGTCCAAGGAGAGCATGAAGGTCCTTTTGCAAAATGCCTTCAAAGAAGGTGAAGTTGGCCAGAGGGAGATAGAAGAGGTCAAATCCTCTCACAAGGCCTTTGTGCTACTTTCTGAGTAGCAATGAATAAGTTGCACTTGAGGCTGGAATCTTATAGGTGGGGACAAATCTCTTTCCACACTTTGACTCTTTCATCTGACATACAGAGAACTGCATTTCAAGAGATGCCCACATCAGTCCCCAACTAATGCTGTGCAGGAAATGAACTGCATGACATTTATAAAATACTCAGCTAACTTTGCTTTCTAAAAATGAGATTTTTATTTCTAGATAAGCACCAACCATGCCTGCTGCTTCCAGATGTCACTTAAAGGAAACTAATTCGTGAAATGAAGCAACAATGAGTAAAATTAAACTAGAACCAATTAGAAACCAATTGAAATTCAGTAATTAGTGTTTAGGCTTCAGTCTCTTACTAAAAAGGGAAAGAGCAAGAGAGGCAGTTTTCACGTATATCCCATTTCTTGGGAGCAACAGAAGAGAAATGGGGGCCACAGGCAAAATCACAAATCCCCAGGCTAAAATATCAGTGAATGTTATGTCTGAAATGTGTGAGGATCATAACTGTCATATTTTATTGCAGGAAATGTATCCTGTACATATTTTTTTCTGCTCTTTCCTTTTATTATGTATACAAATTAGCGAAGCTGTATATTCTTCTATCAAGTGCTTTAGGGACAAAACCTTTGCAATTATATAGGAAATAAACATACATAAAATGAGAAAAGTTAAATTTAAAAAAAAACATGCATTAACAGGAGTTTTTATGATATAAAGAAGAATTGTATGATGTCAGACATATCATTTCATTTTATGAAATAAAGAATTACATGAAGTGAGATGTAATTTCATGTGATGAAATAAAAAATATATATGAAGTCAGACACTTTCTGTACAAACATTTCACTTTGAAAATTAAGAATACAGCAGTATTTCCTTTTTATTGTTTGGCGTTAGCTACTTTGTTCAATAAATTTTCTTTTTATTGAATGCACATATTATTTATGGCTATCAAATGTGAATTACAGTGATAGTAAGATTTCACAAAAGTTCTTCCTTTGCAGCTTGCTGTTCTTCCAGGCTGCCCTGCTGCTCATTGTTGAAGACTCTTTGAAGAGCCACCTTCAAGGGTGTTCTGGGCTGACTCTTTCCCCTTTGCTTCCTCCCCACTAAGAAATAAAGGAGTGGGTTGATGCTGCTCTTGAGAGTAGCACTTCCTATTCCAATTGTCAAGAGGACAGGATGAGGGAAACTGAAATAATAAATGACATATGAGGCATACCTTGGGAGAGAAAAAAGGAGGAAGAAGAGGAGAGCCAGCAAGATGGTGGTAAGGAACTTCCTTTGATTGCATTGCGATTTAGACCTCATGTGAATCCAGAGGGTCACAGTAGACAAAACCATGAGAAGTGTACAAAATAAACCATTCACAATCAGCTGATAAAGGTGAACTTCCAGAGCTTCTGTTCTGGTGGAGAATGAAGTGCACTGAAGAGAGCAAGAAGGAGATGATCCAGATGGGGCCACAAACAAGAGTGGAGAAATATGACAGATGATGGCAGTGATGCCAGAGTGGGAAGAGGACAGCCACACACCTGTCCAGGCTGATGGCCGTCATCAGAAACTGGCTAACAGAATAGGTGAAGGAAAAGAGCTCCAAAAACAAGAAGAAAAAAGTTTGGTCTATGTAAGTTCCTTTATAAAAAGTTGACACCCCCACAAATATAGCTGCCATAATGAGGGATGCGAGGACCCCAAAATCAGCAATGGAGAGTTTCAGGATTTAAATGGTGAAAGAATTCCTCTTAATGGAAAAGGCCAGGAGATAAATGGTCTTTCCATATTCTACCAGGCCCAAAATGCAAATAAGGGCAATGAAGCCATTGATACAATTTCGTGTTAAATTATCAACCAGCTGATTATCTAGAGAAGACGTTTCTGGTATTTTAGAAGTATTCAGAGCAGTTTCCATATTTTCAATAATACGGAAAGAAATGTTGACGTTTTCTGGATCACTCCTTGAAAGTTCAGGAGTATCCAAAATAATTTGGGGATGCACCCTACTTAAAAAAAAAAGAAAAGATAATTACTTCACTTACACACAGACACACCAGACATACAGACACACACACAAACTTATTTTTCATTGACAGATATGATATAAACACATATGTATTTTTTTTTCGTCATCTGATGGAAATTACATCCCTAAAATCGATGCTATTATGAGGCTGGAGAATTGCTGTACTTAGTAGAGACCCAAAATCTTCAAGATGCATTTCAGTAAAATTGCCACCAATTTATCAGGTATCAGGTATTTGTTTAACAACTGTCACAAAACAGGTAGTAAAATTGGGCCACTTCATGTTATGAGCTATCCCAAAGATGCTTTTTCATGAGGCAATTGGACTTTCTTCTTTTTTTTCTTTGAAGATGTTTCGCTTCTCGTTCAAGAAGCTTCTTCAGCTCTGACCTGTTATGTTAAGACCTACTTAATGAGCAGTGTGACACTCAAATGAATAGTACCTGCAACAATTCAGCATAGATTTGATGTAAAAGTACTTTGAAAAGAGTCAACTGAAAAAGGAAAGATTGCAGTGTTATTTTTTGCTCTTTCTGTTAGCTATTCTAGCAAGGGTGATCCCTGTAATAGACAGGACGTTCCTTAATCACTCACATCTTCTGCCTCTAGAACTGTTCACGAGTCTGACAAGGGGTTGAACTAATTATTTGTAATAAATAAACAGGTTGCCCCTACTGGCTTGTAGTATTATAGACTGGAAGCTAAAACATATAAAGAGCGGTTGCTGGAATTGGGTTTATCTAGTTTAATGAAAAGAAGGACTAGGGGTGACATGATAGCAGTCTTCCAATATCTCAGGGGTTGCCACAAAGAAGAGGGAGTCAAGCTATCCCCCAAAGCGCCTGAAGGCAGGACAACAAGCAACAGATGGAAACTAATCAAGGAGAGAAGCAACCTAGAACTAAGAAGAAATTTCCTGACAGTCAGAACAAATAACCAGTGGAACAACTTATCTCCATAATTTGTGTATGTTCCAACTTTGGAAGTTTTTAAGAAGAGATTGGACAACCATTTGTCTGAAATCATATAGGGTTTCCTGCCTGAGCAGGAGCTTCGGTTAGAAAACCTCCAAGGTCCCTTAAACTCTGTTATTCTGTTCTGCTCTACTCTACTCTTCTATTCTATTCTATTCTATTCTATTCTATTCTATTCTATTCTATTCTATTCTATTCTATTCTATTCTATTCTATTCTATCCATTCTTAGATGCTTCTAGAATTTTCTTGGGTTTTTGTGCCCAGATCATGAGCAATTCTTCTTTGTCTTCCTCCCATGAAGAAAAAGTACTCAGATAAAAGACATTCAACCAAAGTCAGACACACCAGTCAACAAGTCAGAGATGGGAAGATTGCTGTCACACTATCCAGAGGAAAAACCTGCTGTTAAAACCAGTTCTAATATTGGCTAGAGGATCCTGTGGGATTAGCTGATCTCATACTAATGGTTGTCTAAGTCTTATCTTAAGCTCAAAAAGGAGTATTTTGTAAATAACAATTACCACAACAAAAATTATCCCTTTGCTGTAGACCAGGGGCAGGCAACCTTGGCTCTTTTAATACTCATGGACTTCAACTCCCAGAATTCCTGAGCCAGTCTTCCAATTTCTTGATTAGGGGGAGTAAAGGCCTGAATAGGAATGTCAAGACTCTCCCTGTAGAATCACTTTCAAGGAGTCTTCTCACAGTCCAATTCAATCCCAAAGCAAACCAGGAGAAGAAATTCTTCTAATTAAGGTTTCTCAGCCTAAGAAGAATGGACAGCTCAGGATACTGCCCTGTGACCAAAAGAAACATAATGGAAAAGAATCCTTCCATCATCGCCAACATTAGCTGAGGCTGAAAAGCGCCACCATGAGAAGGTGTGGAATGGGTGAGTGAGTGAGTGAGTGAGTGAATGAGTGAGTGAGTGAGTGAGTGAGTGAATGAATGAATGACAAAATAACAGAATTGGAAGGAACCTTGGAGGTCCTCTAGAGTCTAGTCCAACCCCCTGCTCAGGTAGGATGTCCTTTACCATTACAGATAAATGGTTGTCCAATCTCTTCTTAAAAACCTCCAGTGATGAAGCTGTTCCACTGATTCATTGTTCTAACAGTCAGGAAGTTTCTCCTTAATTTGGCTCCATTGCTTCTTGTTCTGCCTTCAGACTGACTGACTGACTGTCTGACTGACCAAATACATAAATAAATGTTCTTAGCATGAGGCAGAAAAGCAAAAAAAAAAGAGGGCAAATTTCAAAGACTGTCTTCATTTTCAGAAATAAGAGACTCGAAAGCTATTCGGGTGTTTGATTCCAGAGTGAAATCCAAAACTCAGAAGCTCTTTGGATATAAGGGAATTGGCTAGTCAAGCTCTGTAACATGATTGAACATTTTGAAACATATTTCAAGGGTTCACAGAGACCATCTGGGGGCCACCTGACACTTTCTTCCCAAACAAACAAACTTTAATTTCAGCACTATACATGATTCATTCTCCGCCTTTTCTCCACCTGAGTTCATACATTACACTAAACCAGAATGTCTCTATGTTTTGTGTACAAACCATGTTTAATGACTTAGCATATTTGATGAACTGAGACAACTGGGATTAATGCAATCAATTCTGCTATAGCAGTGGATGTAAACTTTTTTGAGATTGTTTTAGATATAGTAAAATCTGTGGTTAATGTTGTTCAAAACTATGGGGATTGTTGCCTGGCATCAATAAAGCACATCTAGGGTGGCAATAAATCAGAATTTTTTTATCAATACCACTAAAAAGGAAAAACAAGAAAACCAAGAAAAAATCACCTTGGTTGGACTAAGAATTCTCTGACCAACTGAAAGAAAAAAAAAGTAAGTACAAACAATGGAAAGACTGTGTTGCAGACTGAAGATGGAGGATATAGGGGAATAAACCCATCAGGATTCAGCAGTTCATCTGCATTAAAAAGACAAAGGCCACTCTTGAAGACAGCAAAGTCCACATTTTGGACAG